ATTATCAAGATCAAGGCAAATTCACATATGTCGATTTGGATCAAGTTTCAACTATCAAGTTTCAAGTGGTGTTGAAGATTCAAGACACGGTATAACATTGTTTACTTAGAACTATGTATGCAAGTGTTCTTTAATCTCACCCCACTACACCACTAACACAAACCATTTTAAAACTCTTTTAAAATACTCTTGATATTTTAAATTAAGTAATTTTACAAAAACTTTCAGTGTTAACTAATTAACGCATGGGGTTAACCGGTTAACACACTTCAAAATTCAGTATTTTTGGGATTTCTAACAGTGTTAACCGATTAACCATATAGGTTAACCGATTAACACATGAAAATTTTGAATATTTTGAACGTTGTAAAGGTGTTAACCGATTAACCTATATGGTTAACCGGTTAACACTGTAACAACAAGCAAAAATAGCAACTGTTCATGGAGAATTGCATTGCTCTATGATTTTCTTACTGGCTATTTTTGATATCCCCAAAACACACCTTTTTGTAAAGGTTTTTGATCAGTATAAATTAATTTTATTTTCAAAATCAAAATCACCTTCAAGAAACAAATTTCAAAAATTACTCTTTATCTTCAACCTTTTTGAATTTTCAAAAGTGTTCAAATAAGAATTTTGAAAGAAACCATTGAAATACACTTTCACATTTTTCACAGCTTGCTTTCACATAAAGAACACTTGTATAATTTATGAGTAATCTTTGTTTCGAGAAGAAGATCAATATTTCATATTGATATACATTCAATTGTTACTTATATACAAATTCAATATTGACTACAACTTATTCTTAGAATTATAAAAGATAAGTTTGTAGGGTTTTCCTTGTGATCCGGATTGTGGATATAATAGGTCCTTGTGTGAGATATTCATTCTCGGTAGGACTTAAAAATTATGTAAATCCAAGAAGGGTGTTCTTGGTTGTTAGGATTGTATTGTGTAGAAATCTAACATTGATAGTAAAATACTCTTTCATGTTGAAAGGGGAGTGGAGTACTCTCGGATTGTGAGGGGAACCACTATAAATCGCTGTGTCTTTTTCCTTCTATACTTTACTGCCTTTTCATCATCTAGAAGAACTTAAAGAAGTAAAATCCAAGAATCGTCAAAAACCGAAAAAGTGTCTAAGAACCAAATTCACCCCTCCCCCCTCTTAGGCATACATATAACTTACACCCTCTTTCACTAGAGGGTCAGATATCTTATTCACTACACCTTTTCTTTGTACTTGCTTTCTCTCTAGTTCCGTTACTCACTTAAGCATCATAGCATCTTGCAGGTACACCCCCTTTCTCCTCTACAACACAGGTGAAGGCAGCAACTCACGACGCGTGGCAGGCTACTGACTCCTTTATGATCAGGTACGATAAGTCTAAACGAATATGCCAAGCTTTTACTCTCTCTACACATCTACTTCAAGGACACTTACCCCCACAATCCCACCACAAATAATTTAAAACACTAATTAATCAAATAAAAATCTAAATAATTTAATTTAATTAATTAATCAAATTTTGGGTGTTACACTGGTAGTCTTCTTTGGGGATGTTATGTGGTTTCTCTAAAGAGTTGATGGATTTGACATCAGTTGAGGAAGATTGTGAGTTGTTCTTGGTGCAATAACCTGGAGGATGTCCATGATTGAAACAACAAGTATACATATTATGATTGCTCTTATGACAATTAGTACACAACATGGTGGATTTTGATGAACCTCTGCCTTTGCCACGTCCATTAGAATTAGGGTTATTTGCAAAGAGGACTGTGAACTCAATGCTTGATGTTGGAGGTGTATGCACTTCTTGCTGAGCAATTAGCTAATGTTGGGAAGAAGGTATATGAGTAAGATTTGAGTCTGAATGTTGTGGAAAGAATCGTTTAGTCCCTTCAGAAAGCATGTGACATATTCCATATGTTTGTATTGGAGAACCCCTTTAGCGATATCACAGGTGTATAGTATGTCGCAAGAACATGAGGGAGTGGGTCAGAGATCCTCAAGTTCATCCCACATAATTTTTAAGTCAGTGAAATACTAAGATAAAGATCTATTAGCTTGTTTAACTAAATGTTAATCGCGCAAGAGATCAGAGAAACAGAAGAAGTTACCTTTGAATCGTTCGTGGAGATCTTCCCAAAGACCGAAGGCGGAATCAAGGTAGATTGTACTCCGGGCAATGTGAGGAGACAAGATGCGATTGATCCAAGAAACAACCATGTTATTGACACGATCCTAGAGCTCGACATTTGAATCGGCGACAAAGTATCTGAGTAGGATTATATCGATGAAGTGTGATTTGTTCTTGGAAGTGAGGGTGCGACACATCAATTGACTACAATTATGGTAGTTATGGTCGTCGAGCGACGGTGCGACCAAGATTGAATCGGGTTTCTCACCAGGATGTAAATAAAATGGATTTCTAGGATTTTAGGATGGATCTTTTGGGGATTTTGGTCTTTTTTTGAGTTGTGCAGATGTATCATCGGCGTCAGAAAGTGGGTCGGAAGCCATGGAGGTGGGAGTGAAGAGAGAGGATTTTTAGAGAAAGCAAAGGGGAAAAACAAGCGGTGAACAAAAAGGGATTAGGATTTTGGTCTCATGACACCGTATTACAAGATCACAGATCTTAAAACGGAAAGGTCCATTAGACTTGGAATAATATTGATTAAGAAAATGAAATGTTCCAATATGAATTATCTCACAAAAGAGAAAACTAATGAAATATATACAAACATAAAGCAACGATAACTAAACTACTAGTCTACAACTTGATCAAACTTAATCATATAGAATCCTTTATCATTATCCATGATCTCTTTTCCTCCTTGCAGTTTAATTCTAAAAGTCTCTTTCATAGTATTGTATCTAGTATTTTTATCCAACAACTTGACAACAATAGTATTGATCTACATAACACACGTTTCCTAAAAAACATTAGGGGTGTACTATCGTAACCATTCTTCGTAACTTTTAATTTGCATGTTTTCAATTAGCAAATTGAAATTTATTAACCAAATAAATGAAGACACAAGGGTCTAGAACCATATAAATTGTTTAATACAAAAGATGGATTTGGATCTCAAATTATGTCTAAATATTAAAATTCAATTTAAAATGAATAAAAAGCAACACGTGGTAGCTGATGAACCAACCGATTATTATCATTGAATCTTTATCACTCTTTCACCTTTTATGCATGCATATATTGGAATTATTGAAAGCACTTGTTCCTATCTCGAACCTTCCAATAATTTCCAAGTAGTAGTTAATTCACCATTGTTCTCAATTATTCTACAGAAATTTGGAAGGAAAATTCTACTGGAGAAGAAATATCATGTAGTTTAGTTAAATATCAATATTCTTTTAAATTAATGATCATATTATATAATCATGCATGGATGTTGTCCCTTTACGTACGTTAGTTAATTATATAACATATTCACTGTTGTGTTGTGTGCATGAACATTAATCTTGTCTCAAACACAACATTTTAATACTTATAATACTATTACTAATGTAAACTTTTTAAAGCAAAGTTTTATAATACAATCTGATAAAACTATATACTTTTAATGATCGACCAATTCTTTGTCCATTTTTACTTCTTTTTTTTTCCTCATTCTTTGAATTTTTAATAAGAGTGTTTTTTCCCTCACTCTTTGATCAAAAAACATATAAGCCATATCATCTTTAGAGGGAGAGAGAGAGATGTAGGATATACTAATAATGTATAAATATAATGTCTACAAATATGAGATGATATAACCCATTCTAAAATAAAATCTCCTAGCAAAATATAGAAACTAACATATTTTAAAAAATGTACTAACTCTTCTGTCCTTAAATATCACCTATATATGAGCCCTTTGCATAAAATATACAATATTAAGAAAGATGATTTTGTATTAAGTTTTATAGGTTTACAAATACATTTTTTTTGGCAGGGAGAATTAATTAATGTGTATATAAATTATTTATCACTACTTGTAAAAAATCCTAATAATTAAGAATAAATGGACAAAAGTAATTAATATACTTTAAAGTTTAACAAAAATATTAAGTTTTTAAAAACAAAGAAAAACACAAAGGTCTTATATTGTGCTTCGAACTTGTTTTTGCAAAAATTTATAAGCATGACAATAACGACAATAATAAACAAAAATAAATTAGTAGAGAATACTATTTTCTCTTTCATTGATTACATTTTTTTTTAATCGATATGAAATAACCGTCTATAATAATTATTTTGAGACCGAAGAAATATCATATAGATTATTTTTAAGTATTTAAAAAAATAAAATAAAAAAACCTAAATTTTGTAACAAAAACAATTTAACTACATTACTTCTTTAATTATAAAGATAAGCACTTCTTCAATAAGAATTTAATTAAACTATTTTTTCAAAAAAACTTAAAAAAGATGTAGTACCACATTTCTATAACTATATCCTTCACCTTATTACATAATTAGCCACATTCCCTTTAATTAAACTAAATATTTCTCCAAACACATCTCAATTAATTGAAATTAATGAGTCACATCGACAATTTCAACACAATTTTCAAATGCTTGATTAGCTCCTACATATGAAAGGTGTGTGCTAACATTAAAAAACAGCAAAACTATTTCAAACTTAGAACCTCACTTTTCTCCCTTTGATAATTAACCAAAATACAAACAAGTTTTGTTAGCATATTTGGTGTGGTGAGCACATCAAATAGCAACCCAAATTAAATTTAGAAACCTAATAGCAGCAATTAGTACTATTTTTTACTACTTCAAATCTTCAATGTTTCATGTTTTCAGACACTCAAACTTAACCAATCTTTCTGCCAATAGGAAACATATCAATGGTTTGTGTCTTAAATCTAGAACGAATAAACATGATAAAAACATTGCTTCCAATCTGCTTCCAATCTGGTGGAAGCTGTACAACACACAACAGCTCCCGCATAGACACCATGACATGTCGCATTTCTTGGTCACGGTCCTCTCTTTCGCCGCTTTGGCTCCACCTGAAAAATTCAAGAATTGTTTATGTATAATCAAGAGATAATGCAAATCAAGTTTATATCAACAAGGGTCCATAGCTCAGTGGTAGAGCATTTGACTGCAGATCAAGAGGTCACCGGTTCGAACCCGGTTGGGCCCTTACATTTTTCTTTTCCAATTATTTTTAATCTCCGAAAATCATTTTTCCGTCGAAAATCTCAAAAGATGCATGTATGCCATCAAATCTATAATTCACTACCAAAAATGAAGAAACACTAGTCAACCAAGTTATGATTAGAATATACGAAACAGTTGTGAATATCATTTTCTACGCAAGCAGTCTTATCTTTCGTGATAACCCGTACCAAGGACCATAGCGAAATCATGTCTTTTAATATTTAGGACTAGATGCATGTAGTTACCTAATTTATCATACCTTGCCATCATCAGATCCCGGTGATGCAGGAAATGGCACCGGTGGTTTCTTCATATCATCATCAGATGAACATTCAGAACAAACAAAATGGTCCAACTTCTTTGCTTCTTCAATAGTCATGCCCACACAAGCCGGATGGTACCTACAAGAAACCTACAAAATGAAGTGTGCATCTTTCATAAAAACTAGAGATATAAACAGGTTCAGAAAAACAATATAGCATCAACTCTCCAATTTTTCCATAAATTTAACAATCTTTTGCAATGATTTGAAGCATTATGCCAGATAAGGTCAGAGAGTTGAAGAAAACAAAGCACAACAAAAATAAACCTTGGCATAGTTCAATCTATATTGGAAAAAAAAATAAACTATGGAGCTCAGAGTCGAGATTTTTTAGGACGGCAAACAACTGATATAAAGACACCAGCCGTTTCAACCGATGAAAAATCATCTGAAGTTGAATTTTACTCAAAATTTTGAGCAGCTCTCTTATAAACAGAAAATTTTTCACATGTTCGTGCTCTCAATTTCCAGCATTTATCTCATCCGATTCTGCTTTGTTATAGGCCAAGAGAGAGCTCCAATAATGGAGAGAGTACCACAATTACTGAGAACCTGTGAAGCACGGGCACCCCGAATACGACCCCGACGCTAACACGGCAACACCGGTAATAATTCAAAAAAATAAATAAATTAAACGTAATCACAAGTGTCGTGCCAGTGTCCGACACAGACACGGTCGCGCATTTTTTCAGATGTGTCGGTGCTACATAGCTGAGAACTTAATCAAACATCTTCTTCCTAGGGTAAAGTCTTTGTACAATTAGTAGCATTCTTCCTTTTTTTAACCTAATTCAACAATAGCTCTAATATCCACACAAAAAATTCATATTTCATCCAAACAACCCACACATCCAATACTAAAACTAGAGATCTGCACAAAACTGAAAAATCACTTGGAAACTTAATAAAAGTAAACAAAGTAAAGCAGAATACACTGATTTTACCAATCTTTGCATCCCTCGCACTGCACCATTAGGTCATCCGGATTATAAGGCATCTCACATTTGCAGTATCTGCAAAACACAAAACCAAATCAACAAAACAAAAAATATCATAAAACACTCAATTCAATCAGCAAAAACACTCACACAGCAACACGGTCAGGGGTGAAAGCACCAGTAGCAGCCTTATACTCAAATCTACAATAATAATCTTCAGAACCTACGTTCTCAAGCTTAGTATAGTTCTTGAAAGAATGAACAATACACTTTCCTTCAATAGTGTGAGCACTTTGAACATCAAAATGGTCAGATAAAAACAGCTCCTTTGCTCCATGAAACTGTCTTCTTCCACCAAGAGATTCTTCAGGTCTATAATACCATCTCACACGAACCCTCACATTGCTCCTATTATCTTGCTCGATCTTCTCCACACGTGCCACATATGGTGGCTTACTCGTGTCAGAAGGACGCATCAAAACACAATCACCAGCTGCAACAAACCAAAACCAAAAAAACCCAAAAATTAAAAACCAAAACTTTCTTAAATTCAAACAACACCCACATAGTTTTAAACATTACCCATCACATTTTTCCACAAAAGGAACGATTTTGAAGATGTTTCCTTAACTGGGTATGTTCAAGGATAAAAGGGTTTCAAAGGAATGTTAATTCATTACCTTTAACAAGCTTGTTAGTTCCTCTGATGGTGTATGAGTCCATGTCTTTTTTCCCTGGCCTCGTTTTCGCCATGCGTGTATGAGCTTCTTCTCAAAAGCACTTTTCTACGATAAAGGTTCGTTGGAATGCAAAGGTTGAAGCTTTGAAAATGATGAAAATGGTTCAATTTTGTGTAGCCTCAAAATTGTTTGGTTTTAAGCTAAGAAGAAGAACAAAGGAATGAACCCTAAGGATTTGTTGTGAGAAGAAGCAAGGGTTGAAGAGACTGAGTGTGAGCGTGACGATTCATATGCCTGTGACTGTGAGAGTTAATACAGTGAAATTAGTTTAAGATTAATGGCTTAAGTGCATTAATTGTAATTTGGTGTTATGCATTTGTGTTTACCTACCTAATATTTTGTCACATTGTCATTCAAATTTTTATCTATAGACTTTGACTTGACCATTTCTATGTTTACAATTTTATTTTTGAGGCAAATATTGAAGGACATTGTTTTGTCTTGAAGTAATGTTTCCACAAAAAAAATATACTCCTTGTAAAAAAAAAAGAAAGAAAAAAAAATTATTCTCTTTGTTCCAAAATAATTAACTCAAATAAAATATAAAATAAAGAGAAATTTCACTACAATGTTTTTATTATATATTAATGATTTTTTTTAATATTGATATGCAACCTTGCGACTGATTAATATAAGAGTATTAATTCTACAATTTTGAGAGAAATATATTTTTAAGATCCAAACCTCTACTACTAAGTCAATCTTATAGGTTTAAATAAATGTATTAATTTTATTATGAATATATAATTGGAAATATTAAATTGTAAGTGATACAAATCATATTAATTAAATAATATTAATGACAATAATTATTATTATTAGGTGAGGGTATCTCAACTTGTATATGTTTTAGTCGAGTTAAATGGACGCAAACATCCTTTATATAAAATATATAAATTTCAACTAAGTATTTGGCCTCGAATGGTAAACGAGTTTCTACTAAGGAACGAAAGTTCGGGGAATACTGAGTTCGATTTCTGATGCAAACAATGCTTGGTCAGGCGTATTCCAATGGAAAATAGCCGCAGGTGTAGATAATTAATTGTATCAACAATTTATTTTCCTACCGCAATACTCGTGGGTATAGATAATAAATTTATTACTTTGCCCAATAGACAAAAAAAAACATTGTCATAGGCTTGCTATTGAGATGGTAACCTTCTGTTTGTATCGAAAATTAGAAAGGACGGAGAAACATTATCGTTGTAATAAGGTTTTGGGGCTATTCCCACAGTTTTTAGCCTTTTACATGCAAAATTTCGCTATCACTATATGTCAAATTTATTATAGTGGCAAGTTAATCACCATATGGTCATCTTTGTGGGGATAAGACTTCATATGTGTCTTTGTTGTATAAGTTAATCTCTATTAAGGAACATGTTTTCTCAGCGCTAATGATATGCATTACTTGGCGGGCATGTCTCTTCCTATACAAACTCGACTCCTCCTTCTCAAATCCAACAATTGTATTCAAGGTGTGATGTACTTAAACAATATCATGCATTTCTTCATGACTTCGGTCCTTTATAGATTGACGTGTTCTTTGGCGATTTATGTTCGGTTGGGCGCTATTCTTTATGAACTTTGGATATTACTTCGTACATATCTCTGTAGTCGACCCGCCTAGATGAGTTGTTCGATTTTTCTCTTCGGGTGAAGTTAGTCATTGGTGTGATGACCTCTTATCTTGTGATACTTGCACCGTTTACCCTACTCACTCCCAATTGCGTGTCCTTCAGGTGCAAAGGATTCAATAATGACCTTGGTATAATAAACCTCTTAAAGGATACGCTTTTTCATTGTATTTAATGATGTGAAATGCTCTAGAGGTCTTTTAGAGGGCTTTAGTACAACTTTTTCTCACACTGGTCTAATGTTCTAGTTTTTCTGCTAGTTGGGTACCTCAAACTTTCTGTCATCTTGCACTTTTGCATCTTTGGTTCTCTTTTCTACATTATTTATTCGCTTTTAATATAACTATTTTGGACTGGGTCGGGACCTGCCCATCAGTTGGGCAGGCCCAACCCAATGCAATATTGGGAAGGCCCAATAGGGCCCAATCCTCCCATGTCGGACACGAGTTATATACGTTGGACAGACGACTCCCTTAACGGGCAGACCCACACGCTTTCCCCACGTTCCCCACATGCTCCCCCATGCAGGGACACGTCACTAGGTGTTTCCCTTGAAAATCGGAAAACAACCACTGATCTTCTAAATCTAACTTTGGTGACTCACAGGATCGATCAGATTGATCCTAGGACATGTGTTAAAGGGTTATTCTCGTTGATTCTATCTAAGTTTCACACTCTGGTCATATTGCAGTGAAGGACTCTAAAGGAAATATCTATTCGACTACGGGACAAATTAAAAGATAAAGTTTTCAACAAAGAAAAGAAAGAAGTTTGTTTGAGAGAAGAAAGATTAAGGACGAAGAGAAGGGAATTGCATAGAGAAGGAAGAAAGGAGAAGGATAAGGAAGAAGGGTGCAAAGAAAATAAAAAGACTTTGTAAAGTTTAAAGCAAGTAAAGTAAATTTCATTAAGATAAAAGATGGTGTGTTTACATCACGTACATTCTCTGTAATACTCGCTTTCTCTATGCTCAGATACTTAGAGTAATTCTAAGAGTAATTTGTACAATAGTAAATTACAACACACTTATTTCATGTCTAAGACACCCTATTTATAATAGTAAAAAAATAACTACTAATAACTTCCAATATCACCATCTTTCGTCACTTGTCACAATGCATGGATCCGCTGCTCATAAGGTGTCATGTGTCCTCCTAGCCACTTGGCAAACGAAACTGTTCCCTCCAAGTTTTTGAATTTCAAATCTTCAATAAATCACCAAATAGTAAACGGTTGAAGCCCATGTGTTTTTTTTTCAATCCTAGTGAGTCCTTCGACTACTTCCTTTAGCTGCCTCACGCCTTTCGACCAACCTTTGCTTTCAACCTGCTTTTGGTGCTTTTCCTTAAATTCCTTTATTTTGCAAGAGGCGTCGAATTTAGGAGCTAACAAATTGCCCCCTAAAAATGTCTTTTCGATCTCTGATGTGGAAAAGCACATTTTTTGACAGCATCTGATTTCGACGCCGCTCATTTTCTTCATACGTGTCAGCTGATATTCTTTCACCCAACACATGTCTGAGAAGGTGAAAAGGGAAGAAAGAAAAGAAAATAGAGGAAAGCACGCAAGACACTGCTCCGCCACCTTGATGCACGTACCTGACGTCATGTTTCATCATGGCGATTTTCTCGGGAACTACAAAAATCGTGGGCCATCATCACCTTTTCAGCCTAGGGGATGTAAATTGCAATTGCTACCCCTGCCACCCTACTTCAAGCGCACACGTGCCCCACTAACTCTAGCCCCTTAATGATGAAACTTTTGATCTTCCATACTCTATATAAGTAATTTTCCTCCAGTATTGTCATTTTTTCCCACATTTCCAACTCTTAGCAAGACTCTTACGTTTCTTCTTCCTCAAATTTCTTTGCTTCTTTAAAAAAAACTCCTTTGTTAATTTCAACAATGGCCGATCATCAGAAGAAGAAGACGCAGGTCAAAGGGCAAACTTCCGCATCAACTCTCCCACCTTTTGCTAACTTAAGCGGTCCTAAGGTAGTGAAGAATCAACAGTTCATTCGTGAACCTTTGTCAGAAGAAAAGCGCCACATCTATGAATCGTAGGTAATCATCCCAATTACTGTTGCAGGTAGACCCTTAGCAATGTCTGGCCCGTTGCCTCCTTTAGGTCTTTATTACTCTAGTATTAGATACTTTTTTCCCTCCTACAGAGTCACCAAACCTTTAGGGCAAAAAGATTCTAACAGAGTCCCCGCTAATGGTCCCGATAACCTAACTCTCTTCGACGTGGACCTTAGGTATCTCCATGATGGAGCCAGATTGTTTAGAGTCACCTCTTACTTCAAGGATTCTGAACTTTACCTGAACTGGTTGGAAAAGGTAGAAAAAGTGAAAGCCCAGGATTGGAAAGACACCGACATTTACGACCTTATAATGATGTCGAAGGTAGGCCCTACTTACTGTCACCTTATGCTGGCCTCTTCTTTGTTTTTCTAGGACAGCACCCATAACACTTTCCACCTTCCTTGTGGGATGGTGACACCTACATTGTTTGATGTAGCTGCTATTGTGGGTCTAAAACCCCACGGCCTTGTTTATGACCCTGACGTTGATAGCCAGGACACTATAGGATTCGCCAACACAAAATATACTTATACGGCCTTCATCCAACATTATCATAACAAAACCACCACTTCTATCGAAAATGAGGAACATATAGCCTTCCTGACCATGTGGTTATCTCGCTGTGTGTTTTGTACAAAATCTCTGCAGGTGGTACGAAAATATCTTGTTTTGGCAAACCAGCTGAACTTGAAGAGAGGCATCTGCCTTAGCGAGATGATTTTAGCCAGCCTCTATGAAGCCTTGGGCGAAGGTGCTGCCAAATTGAAGGACCCTGAAAGTCATGGCAACTTACTGTTATCAGGCCCTTTTTGGCTCCTCTAGTTGTGGCTCAATGCCACTTTTGAACACAACCTCCCCAACAAAGGCGAAGTCGATGAAGGTTCGTCTTCAGTTTCTGATAGACAAGTCGAATGGCCTCGCTTGGCCCAGAACACTCCTAGCGAAGAAGGACATACTCTTCGAACCAACCTATCCAACTTCATTCATATGTTCGCCAAACGATACGAGTTTACTTCAAGGATGACTCCCTTTGCAGAAAGAAGATGCGGCCCTAAGTGGTTCACCAGGTCTTTCCCTGCTCTACTAAAGAAACAAGAAGAGGAATCGAAGCTAATTTGGGAACGATTCCTCATACCTCGACTGCTGGTTCATAAACTAAACCTCGTCAGAGGTCAGGCCAGCTTAGTAGCCTACCAGCCAAACTTAGTGTCCAGGTAATTTGGGTTAATACAGACTTTGCCCAAGTGTTTGTATGATAAGAAATCACACATCATACTTCCCCTCGCGGTGCTTT